CTCTACACTGATATACATATATAGGCATTTACATTAAAATTTTAACAGTCAAGTGGTTATTTTAGTGAATCAGTTTTAGGTACACGGTATACTCTCCCCTAGTAACTATCTTTTGACATTGTTAATTTTTACAGTTCTAACTAATTGTATTAACTTGTTGGCATCTTACGTAATTCTTCTGAGTCATCCCATTATTATTTTACAAACCTCTTCATTATGTAATAACTCGTCGCTGACACCTACGAATTAATTAATTGATTTTGAATTCCGTGATTAAGTTTAACCCATACTCCCCTCAAAACTTAGATATCTTGTTACTAATATCTATTAGTTAATTAATGTTTTGATGACTTTCAACCTCTTAATTTCACCCCCCCCCTTGTCGTCTAGGTATACCTTAAAACTGATGAATTAAAGTAACCACTTGATTGGGGGAAAATTTGTTTGTAAGATATTACATATTATTGTAGAGCCAGCTGATGATGAGGAAGTAAGTGAAAAGGAATATGTTTCTGCTCTCACTCTGTCATTATTTCTAAATTCTCTACTACCTAGCGTAGCGACCACATATTTACGTTGAGCTTATGCATTCCGACAGCGTTCAAGGTTCAGTGAAATATTAGTACTCACTAGCCGGCAGATACATTCAACTGATGAGTGTCAACAGAGGATGAAACATGAGTCCTTAAGTTCCGTTTTACGAGAGTTTAGCTTTTTGAGGTAAATCCTACTGATTGCAGTGTACTTTGAGCTATCTTTAAGAGATGCATTTTCCTGTCTGAATAGGACTTTGTTGTTATTTTCTTTTAAGATAAATGTTCTAGATATATATTTATAAGACACGAGAAGTTTTTTTCTGTGGTACTGTCGCCGCAGTCTTAGTAGTTTAGCCCTTTCCCTTCTAGTAATGAAATGTTTTATGTTTTGACCTAATTTCTCTTCACATTTAGGAATAAGTTCATCAAAGCATATCGACATATTTTGGTAAAATGCTAGTAGGAGAGTGTTAAGGCTGCTACTAGAAAAGATCAGGTCCCAGTGTAAGCTTCAAATGAAGGAGTTAGATACGTGCTTAAGTTCCATCACCAATGAAATATAAATGAGTTTATAATCAACTCCTGTACATGATATTATTGTTTTGTTTTTATCCAATTTTATAAACAAGAAGATCAGTCTAAAAGTCTGTGAAATTTTGTTGTTTATTGTTATTTTATTTATTTTTATTTAAGTTTTTGTGGTTCAAAATTTCCTGTAAAGAAAATAGCTCATGTCATAACTTATTTTCAAAAAACCGAGAAACAAATAATAAATATGGCAAGCTGTTTTTCTTTTGCTTTCTGTCTCGTGTAAACCCGGCAAGGTTAGAGCTTAAGAAAGAAATTGTCATCATTTATCCGGAATGCGTGTCTATTTTTTTGTTTGTTTTGTGAAAAGACATCTCTAGAAATAAGTCGAACAACAATAATTATTTATCATTGTTATTGATGTTCCTTTCTGTTAGCGATGATTTAGTCAAAACACTAACTGATACAATATGTACTTCTGTCGAGTGGGAAAGCTTCAAGGAACAACATCAACAACAACAACAACAAAAAAACAAGGAATGAGTTGTTTTTTTTACTTCTTTGCAAGTGCATGAAAAAATACTGATCAAGACTCCTGAAAATGCTCATCGAGTCATGAAGAAGTCAGAAGACAATTCAACGAAGGAGATTTTCTTTTGTCAGCGATACTACCACTACGGAACCTAGAACTTCAAGCTAAAGCTTTGAAGTTTCGGTTGCACTGGGTTTTTGGTTTTTATTTTTACGGGATGAGGTTACCAGCCTAACGCCTAACCTTCTCTTTTTACCGGTTTTACTAACAGCTTTGGCTGGGGAACAAACTCCGAACCGTTCTACCACTGAGTCACCGAGGTATCAAACTACCTTCATAGGCTGTACAATCGTAATAACACTTAGAAAAACCTAAAGTAGTCCGTTACTGACTAATAGGGGATAACATAATTCATATAAATAATCAGGAGCAGTTTCCAAAATAAAAAACGAAACTATAAAAATTAAGTAATAATCAAGAATACATTTAGATAGAGGGTTTGAAGTATGATAAGATTGGAATTATTACTGAATGAGGAGTAAAGTAGTTAAGGGTGAGAAAGTGCGTTCAGAATGACCACGTAAGAGTGGTGGTAACAGAAAATGAATGAAGAAAAGTAGAAGAGAATGGGTAGAAAAGAGCTAAGAGCTACAATAGGATAAAAAAGACTGAATAAAGCTTTTCCAGCACATAGTTCGTGGTTATATGCAAATCGACAGTGTCTCGAACATGCACAAATACCGAAACCAGTCACCCATTCTACCACTCGGCTTTACCCTGTAGATAATCTTAAAGGATGACTCTATTAGATCTCCGTGGCTTGAGTTCATCAAGTGCTCGAGAACTGAACTACTGATTGTCTTACGTTTCCTTTTTCATAACCCTTCCAGATAATGTTCGGGAAATATCAGTCTTGTGCGGCCAATATAACTGGCTTCACAGAAGCAAACAAATTTATAGACACACATTCAGTGACCGAATTCGGCAGTCTGTCTTTCACACGTCCATTGATCAATTTTCTACTGTAGGAATTGGTTCAGTTGTACTCAGCAATAAGTGGCTCTTTTGAATTTCAGTTGTAGCATCACCCTTAAATTCAAAAATAACAATTTCTTTGGCACCGTTTAGATTCTTTCAGGCCTCTGATTTCCTTTCATTTTTATTTTCCCGGTGAATGTTGTGGGGCATTCATTTGCAGTGAGAACTTGCCTGAATCTATCCAATTCGTCATACATTGTGTCGCCTTACTGTGCATCTTTCTTATTCTTGAAGATGAAGAGTGGATCACATCTCTTTTTCTTCTTAAAGGGATCCGACTATGAAGCATGTTGCAGCATCTTGTAGATAGAATGACATACCGCAGATCAATTTTCTACTTGAAGATTTTGCATAAAGAGTATATAAAACTATGCTGAAAATTCCGTAAACCTAGTTGTTTAGAGTAAAGCTTTACTAGTAATTATTAATTTAAGGGAACGAAGTTTTAAAATGCTTCATTCTTTCACCACACTAATTTTTTTTGAACCATTTACTTAGTTCCGTGATTGCATAACTTAAATATTTATTCTAGACTACAATTTGAGTCATAAAGTAAGAGAAGACGTAATGGCGAGGAAAATTTTCTTTCCGACGAATCATTTTCCACAGCTATACAATCGTATTTATATTGAACAAAGTAGTTAAAGAAATAATCAGATATCGGTAACTATATTCTAGAAAATATTTTATTTACTGTGAAGGGTAATCTAAAAGAGGATGACCAGGCGGAGACTAGAAAAAGACGGTAGCTGAAATTACGTAATAAATGTGATTGATTTTACCATTTCTTTGTTATGTATAAAAACGATCATACCAAGTGGAATCCAAATTGTCTGAAGTGAATAAGAATGATGGACTAAAACAGAATTTGACCTGGTTACAACACCCCACCCCTCCCGCATGAAGTGACAAAATCAACACGAATGTGATACTAGAACAAGACATATAAGCGAACAATATTGTTGTTTTCAATTAGATCTTCTTCTTCAAGCTTTACTCTAATTTACATAGATTTATATCTAAAAATTCTAGCCAGTGACGGTGAGTTTGTGGATCAAATAATAATAATAATGTGGTAAATGTTTTGAACTTAGTTAATAACGACGATTATAATGAAAGCAAAATATTGATAATAAGGTTTGTGCAGGTGGCGATAAGAATAACAAGGGTAGTAATGTATGTAAATGTAGACAATTCAATAAATAAATCTGGTCAAATCTTAAAAGTTACGTAGTACTAAGGGTGAAGTGGACAAATAATCAGACTTTAAATAAATAACATGGAAATGCGAAGGAAATGGAAAATAAGGAGGAGTGGGAGGGTTTTGAATATAATTCACCTAGGCCAAGGGAGTGGCAAAGGTAGAACAAACTTCTTTTGCATGCAAAGACTAGGATTGTTCTCTCGAATTCCCATAGCTTCGGCTAGGTGTAAAAGCCGAGTTCTGATTCCATTCGAAAGACTCGATGGAATACGATAGATAAGTTTGAAGGCACTATTTTTGTCCCCTTGGTGACCACTATCAATCAAATGAGCCAAAATAGAACTTCTTATAGATTTTATTTGATGTTTTCAGAACCATGAAGGAAGATGCCCATTACTGCGTCTGTTAAGCTGTCTAGTTGTTCGCCACAGGAGCAACTAAATTTATAGATACACATAGATGCGGTATAGATATGGTCGGCTGGAAAATGACAATAAAAGGGTGGCGGCAGTATAAGTCCGTTTTATCGCTCTCGATAATCTCAGATGTAAGACTTCACTAGCCACGTCCCCATTAAATTGCAATTTCATGAACAGTTGTTTCTTTTCAACTGTTGTCAGTTTCATGTGATAAGCAATTTCATTAAATAAACACACGCTGCTTTTATAATTTTACACACTTATCAAATCCAACAATCTACACCTGGTTTTGTTATCTTTACCAATTAGCCAATTTGACAACAACGTAGAAATTACCCCGTGCTAATGAACGATGATTAAGTTGTCACATATATAAGCTGAGTGGATTTTGTAAATTCTCGTTTAATAATAATGCATTGATAAAGCTGTTAGCACTAAATAGCGAAACGTCAGTTAAAAAATATCGTTTTGCCCTTTTTCTTTCATTGGGAAATACAAGAAAACCTTTATTATAATGAATATCATTTGCGCAATGCCCGAATTTTTTCAAACTGTTAAAAGCGAACTTGGTTTGGACAAACTTGACCGACAGAATTCAGTCTACACCATCATCAAGAACTGTAGGCATGAAATTAGTTAACTATTTAGCATCGAATCAAAGAATACATACATATTTAGTTATCTTTTATCAGTGATTTCACATAACTGTAATGGATTCTTTTTATCTTCCTTTTCTGTTACAGCTTATCAAAATGGTGATCATAGTCGCTTCATTGTACGCCATCTCTCAGCTCCCGAGACACTTGATCTACATCATAACAGTGAATAAACCAGATGCATTTCAAAGAGATACAATCATTTATACATGGTTACTGTGCCAATTAAGTGCATGGTCAGCTACATGTTATAATCCTATCGTCTATGTATGGATGAGTAATACATTTCGACGTGGATTGTTTGATCTGTTCAAAAATTCATGTCCATGGATCATTCGGTGTAGACGTGTACAGCATAAATCAAAACAGTGCAACTATCACCGGAATTCCCATCGTCATCATCACCACCATCAGCGTCATTGTCATTATCATCATCATCAGGGATCAGATTGTTCTCAATGTCATAATAATCATCCATGTCCTAAGCATCAACAATGTTTTCACTCACTACAAAAAAATACTACTCATCCCTATAGTAGTAGTAATAGTAAGAAGAAAAAATTTAATCATACACAGGATGATGACAGTGATGAATATTCATTCAATCAAACTGAAAATATTAAAATGAATATATCAGAGAATACAACAATGATAACTGCACTGAATAATACAACTATACACACCAGCTATGAGGAGGATGACGATGATGATGATGAGGGTGATGATTATCAGGACGGTGATGTGAAACACACGCGTTCAGTTCATGACTATGATACGGATCTGACAGAATCAGATAAATAGTTTTCTTCTTCTTTTGTTGCATGCATTATGCTGTTGGTAATGATGCATTTCTCTTTCTTCTCCTTCTTCTTCTCCAGCTTTATGTATGTGTTTCATTTTTTCTTCTTCATGCTTTCTTTCTGCTGTGATTGCATGAGAAAAATAATTGACCGTTGATCATTGTTGAACATTGAACAGCCCATAACTTTGTATGTTTGAATCAAACGATAAATTGTTTAATTTTTTGTTGTTGTTGTTGTGAATACTAATACCTCAACATGTAAAGGACGACTACATTCATTTAGGATTTCATCATGAGCTGAAATCGATTAGAGGACTATTGGAAAACCAACACTAAATTACTGGACAGCCAGCTGTTTCTTCAGCCTAGTTGGAACTCTTTAGCAGTACGCATTCAACCCACTGTCAGGGTTCAAACCCACGACCTTCTGGTTACAAGGTGAGCTAGTTCGCAGACCATTCACCAGCCACTGGGACCCGATCTAATGACCTACCCATGAGTCCTAACTTCTGATCATTCATGGCATAGCGCTACCAGTTCGCAATGTTTTCTTCGATGAGTTACTGCCTCACCTTTGAACTGCTGTACCCTTCTGGTTACGACTTCTCACTAGAATCCCAGGTTAACTGCGTGAATAGAGCTAATGGCCAGTGAGCATCAAACTACTAATCAAGTATTGGTTTTCTAAGAGATTTTGGTTGATTGGTTGGAGGATTTCATCATGAGCTGACAACAGTTAGAGAATTATTGGAAAACCAACATTGGATCACTGGACAGCCAGCTGTTTCGTCAGCCTAGTTTGGTACACTTCATCAGTACACATCCATCACAAGGGTTCGAACCTGGGACCTTCTGGTTACAACGCGAGCCAGCCTGTAGATTGGGACCCGATACAATAGCCAGTCCGTGAATTTCAACTTCTAACTGAAACCAATCACATCCCTGCAAACCAACAATTCAATACATTCATTTAATCAGGTCATCTATAAGATGGCTAATTTCGAATAAGGCTTTTTTTGAAACAGCCTTCTAGAGTTTCAAATAGTCGAAAATACTCATGAAGAAATAAGGAAGACAATCCCACGAAGATTTTCTTTATTGACCAAAAGATCGTTTTCAAAGGCTAAATAATCTTATTTGTATTTAGCAGAAACTTAAAGTAGTCCATTATTCGGTAATAAGGCGGGGGATGATAAATTCATACAGTTAATCAGAAGTAGTTTTGAAAGGTAAGAACAAATTACGTGAAAACCGATGACAACAATAGACTAAAGAGTTCAAAACTCTTACAAGGGAAAAATTGCTATCCAATGGGAAGTAAGGCGATTGAGTGTTCACTTGCAAGTGAGAAGAAAATAAGAAAATGAAAACTTAGTCAAATATACAAAAAGAACATGTGAGACTGATAATAGTGAATTAATTACTAAATATAGAAGTGATCGAGTAGGGGAGACATTATGCTCACAGTAGGATAAGACACTGTGCAAGTCATTCGTACACAAAGAGTCGGGGTTTATTGTGACGAAAAGCCAATGCCTCAAACAACCTCTCTACCAGTGCCAAAAACCTTAAACCAATGGTACCTAGCACTCACCTAGTAGACAGTTCTAAAAGACGAATCTTCTGCAGCTGCGTCCATCAGGTGCTTGAGAATTCAGTTAGAAAGGTCTAACATGGTTCGCTTGGTAGACACACTGGATAATGTTCAGACGTGTATTTGGAAAGTGTGTGTTTTATGTGGCCAACATAACTAGCTTCATAGGAGTAAGTGAATTTATAAACATACATTGAAGTGGCCCGAGGTGGCAGTTTATCCTTCACACATTTATTGATTCAGAGCTCAGAAAAAAGAAAGCCATACTCAGCGATCTGGATAAGCGGTTCTTCAGAATCTCAGCTGTGGATGCTTCATCACTCATGAATCCAACATTCATAAACAGCATTTTCTTTGGCATTTATCGATTATTTTAATGTTTTTCAAGGATAATCTTGTGAAATATCCATTTTCAATTAGCACTTATCTAAGTCTGTTAATTTCAGCATCGATTGTATCACCGGTGATTATCCTTTTTATTTTTGAAGATGAAGGGTTGATTAGATTTCTCGTTCTTCTCAAAGGGACCCAACTGTGTAAAGTCGAATATTCAGCATTCCATATTGATTTCTTGTAGACTGATCTCTTAAAAGAACCATTCTGTTTTCATATGTCTGTCTGTCTGTCTTCGACATAGAACTTTGCACATATGTGCCGCAGTTCAAGTCGCCACACTCCATGTAGCACACAAAGCAAGAGAAGAAAGTAGGAGAAATGCATATTAGAGACAGTAAACAGAGGTGTGAGACAAAAGAATAGTAATAACGAAGAACAAAACAGTTTCGCTGGAAATCATAAGTCACAAGGAGTGGATGCATCTGCGCCTTGACTGAGCATGATTTTGAACCATATCCCCAATTGTCTCCAGCCATTGGATTTTACCGTCCCGAGGACCCTAACCAGGAAGTCTACACCTTCCTACGTGGCTTACACTAACTGTTGTGGATTTCATTGACTGATGACTCCATGTTTTGGATTGACCGCCGCTAACTCTTTTCCAGCCTGACACGCTATGTCAGCTGACATTGCCCGTCGAAAAGGACGATGACTAGGCATACGTAACACATGTCCTAAACATCTCAGTCGGTGTTATTTCACAGCCTCGTCGACTGATTTCCCCTCCTTACCTAGAACTCGACGCCTAACCTCAATATTGCTCACCTTATTATACCACTTCACACGGGAGATAGAAACCAGACACCTATGATCGAAGACAGCTGATCTTTTGATGTCTTCCACTCTCAATGGCCAGGTCTCACAGCCATAAAGGAGGACAGAGCGGACTGATGAGCAGTACACACGCCCTTCAGTTGATGGTCGGATATCACGTCTACGCCAGAGACGGCGAAGACTGGCATATGCGAAACTAGCCCTCTGTATTCGTGCTGAGATTTCGTCAGAGATCAACCCGTTGGGGCTGATGGTACTTTCCAAGTAAGTGAAGTGGTCAACGTGCTCTACCACTTCACTTCCTATTTCTAATCTAGGGGTCGGTTAAGTCCAATCCTGCAGCATCATCTTACATTTTACAGGGGCGAATCGCATGCCAAACATACGAAGATTGCTGCTCAAGATATTCAGAAGACTCTGCATTTTGTTAGCGTCCTCGCCTAGAAGGACTATATCGTCTGCATATTCTAAGTCGACGAGATTCTTCCCTGGTAGCAAGTCAATCCCTGAGTCTCTGAAGTGTGTTAGGGTTAAGTCCATTAGTACGTCTATGATGAAGTTGAATAGAAATGGGGATAATGGGCATCCTGTTTTGATATAAGCATTCTTGACGAAATGATACTTATCGAGTTGAACAATTACCACGATTCAATCAAGTTCACGCCCGGATATTCTGTTAGAAAAGTGGTCTGATAGTTTCTAAGATTAATCGAGAGATGTTGTCTTTATTAATTTATGAAGTTCCTGCTGAGCAAGAAATGGTATTTATCTTGAGTTAACCTTAACAGACCTTTGAAAGTGATGAATATCGCCTCTCGTCTAGTAAATGATGCTTAGTGTTACTTATCTTCCTTCGATTAAGCCGGTAAGAACCCTAACACAAGTCAGCTGATACAGCAAATTAAACTTCATCAAAGTAATGCAAATAGTGCAGAATATCAAACTCTGGTAATCAAAAGCTTAGAGTAATTCTTATTATTTACAGACCTAATCTTGAAAATAAAAACAATATGTGTTCAACATACAAGATTTTATATGGAAAATGTTAACTAGTCAAGACACGGTCCAGTATTGAAATGAAACAAAATTTTTCGCAAAACTTCATGTCCTTCAATAAACTTGGAAGCCTGTGATAAAGCTTATCTTAAAGTTTGTTAATAGTACAGTGAGCAGATAGGGTTGACAATATAAATTGAGCAGTGTAGAGTATTATGATTCTTTCTTGTCTGTTTAAATCCATTCAGTTGACTAGTTCCGAAACTATACTAACAAAAGTCCACTCGAATTTCTTGACTATTTCACACTAAAGCTTGCAGTAAATTGACAAGATGAGGTTACGTGCATTATCACACTAAGATTATCTCTTCGTGTCCTTATAAATGCTTAATTTTCCATTGAGCGCAAATTTTAAAATAAAATCATACCATAACAGGCTAAAAATAATCTCAAAGGACTGTACTCAATCCAGAACTGTTAGCAGGTAGAATTGAAAAGAATCTGGGGATGGTTAAAAGGAAAGAAGAAAAGTTTTATGCTTTAGCTGTTTAAAACGTGTCTATTATTCCTTCTTTGGTTGTCTGAAATAGGAGGCGGGCATATTTTTTCCATAATCACAACACTTTAACCAAGTTTACCTAAGAAACTAAAAATTGTTGAAGTATTCAGCATAATAAGGACCCTACTTTGAAGACACAAACAACTATGTGAACAAACACATGAACTCAGAAAGTAAAATGTTGAAGGTGCCGACTGTCCCTAAAAAGTCAGGCTTCCTAAGATCCCAATTCACGGGTGATGTCAATAGCAAGATATTGTCAAAACGTCTGAGAAGTGACTTCAAAGGGACTTTCAGTGTAACTGAGCTATGCTGTATATACGCTAGCCGACCGATACTTAATTCAAGAAATAGAGAGAGAGAGAGACAGACTGCCCTGCTTCGACACTTTCATGTATATTTATCAGTTCAACTGTTCTTCTGGACCTAGTTACATAGGGCGGGCAATCAGGCAAGTTCATCGTCGAATTTCTGAACACCTCACATCCTGGTTTGGAAGAGGTCCGAATGAAGCTATAAGCAGCTCAATACCAGCTCATCTCATCGAAAGTGACTGGACATCTCGTCGATTGTAAGAAAGCTTGTAAAGTTATTCAACGTATATCACGTAACCTCTCTCCACACATTCTACTGTTACCACTTCTACATACAGCAGAGGTGACCGAAATTCATCTGAAAAAGTAAATCTGTCAGTCAGTTTAAAATAAATTTGTACAGCCCCTTTCTTCGCCATGACCATGCGTCCGCTTGTAAAACGCGCGCGGGAACACTATCCAGCATGGCCATCAAAGGGAGAACGCAAAGGGGTACACAGTCCGACAACAGAACATCT